GCCTCAGCGCCGACGCCCTGGCCTCTGCGACCATCACTTCCCTGGCCGAGTCGCGCGTGCAGACCATGAGTGAGGGCAGACCAAGCACCCCTACGGCGGCCGACGCAGACAAACCCCTGGGTACGAGAGACGACGACATGCGTCCTGGCAACTCGAACTCGCCCGACCACGCTGCCAAGGAAGAGGGCGGTGAAGACGAGATGCCTCCTACGGAAAAGGTGGATTCGCCCGACTTTGGAACCCCCCACGAGTCTCCTCCTCCGGTATCCTGTTCGGGCTCGGCCACGGAGGTCGACGACGACGACGGCCCTGGCGACAATGCGCCTCAGCGGAGCCCAACGGCAGACAGCCTGGAACCCAGCTCTGACCGGGGCCCGATAGCTGCCTGGGGTGGCCCTGCCAGCACCGACCCAAATGCCAGCGAAGCCAGGGGGCCAGATCACGACGAAGTCGCCCGCGACAGGGGCGACGCGCAGAGTCGTCGTCCCCCACTACGCAACCCACAGGTTCCTGGCCATAGGCTTACCTACCCTCGTTCAGCGGAGCGACACACACTCAACCTGCTGACCGACTCACATGGGGGCCCCATGTACAAGGCCTGGCTGGGCAACGTGGACTTGGAGCGCCGCGGAGAGCCACCCGCCAAACGCCTCACCAGACACCAAATGGAGCTGGGTGGAGTATTCTGCGCTCTGTGGACGGCCTACACGCAAGGCATTCGGCTCCATGGATCCAGGGAACCCAAGTCAGACCCGAGGCTGCACACGGACGCGACCATCAACAAGTTTTTGGATGACTGGAAGGGCAGCGGATACAACGCCTACTTGATGGACAGGAGGTTCGACTTCCGGATCGATTGGGCCAAAGTGCGGGCCGAGTACTTGCGTCACTCACGGACCGACGGCACGGGCAAGGGCAACCACCAGCAGAGCAGCTGGCGCGAGCGAGCGACAAGCTCCTGGGACGCCTGGGACACCTGGCAGAGTGACTGGAGCGCTGGCTGGCACGACGACCGTTGGCGGACGGGAGGCAAGCGTGGTGGAGGCAGGCCTGGCGAACGTGGTGAAAAAAGGCAGCGATGGGCAGACTGAGCTCCCTTCCCACCCATCCCGCCACCTAGAGGGACAGATATTTCGACTTGCTACACGCTTTGAGCAGCCTTCAGCTGCCTTCCGTTCTCTCTCAAACCGCGTGGCAGCCTCGCTGCCTCCTACCCTGGTTCACACACTTCCAGCCTTTGGACCCAAGTGTGTCGACCAGCAATACCATCTGCATCGCAGCGCGGGGGAGTGCAGCGTGCAGACCCTAGTTGGCCCCTGGCCCCGCTGTAGTTGTTCTCACCTGTGGCCCGAGTGGCCCCGTGCCCGGCCACGCTGCTTCGGGACCAACCGAGGTGCACTCCCGAGTCGCGCTTATAATCCCTGGGTTTCTCTAGCAACAGCGGCCTTAAGCTGCTCCGTCGACGACGGACTCGCTTGGCGGCATCCCGCCGCCCCCCCTGGTGCGTGCGCTTCCTGCCTTAGGACCCAAGTGTGTGTACCAGCAATACCGTCCGCACTGCAATCACGTGTTGCGTGTGGTCATAGTGGCCACTGGCCCCGCTGTAGCTGTTTTCACCTCGCCAGGTTCGGCCTGGCCCGCATCTCTGAGACCGACGCTTTGGTGGTTTTCGCCCCGTCACGCTCAGATCTGCGCTTCTACTCCATGGGCTTCCCAAATTACTACGGCCTTCAGCCGCGCGGCTCTACCCTCCCTGGGAGCGACCCTGGGCCTGGGCCCTTCGTCCTCGGGTCTCGCGGTGTTCAGTCAGTCCTTTGACGTGGGTCGCCCCGCCGTGATGGCGGAATGCCCACCTGGTCCGCTTGCACCGTCCTCTGACTGGGTCGCTGACGTGCCCCCTTACATTGCTGCTTACCGCGGTTGGCCGTGGTGTGCCACCCTGTGGATCGTGATGCACCGCTCCTGCGTGTGACGGGCGCTCTGTCGTCTCCCCATCGTCGCTCCCACGCGCAACCCGGTTGTGCGACCACTCCTTGGGGCTTTGTGACTTTGAAGGACTTGCTGCTGTGGGTATACGGCAGCGTCGTCTTCTACGAGCGCTCTTTGCTTACCTGGCGTTGCGTGGGTTGAGAGGCGCTGGTTGTCACTTAGTCGATTCTTGTACACGCCCACTCCCGATTGATCGTATGTCTCTCGCCATGTTGGGTGCATGTGTACCTTTGCGCTGCGGCATACCACATTTAGGTCTCCTGCGTGCAGGCGCATCCCTCAGCAGCTGTTCCGAGGTTGCCCCAGGTGTCTACGACCTCTGGCCTTCTGTCAGCCGTCGGGTGCGTTTTCTGATGCTGCGACGGTTCTTTGGCGCTGTCAGAAATTCCCCTCCTTGCTGGACGACGGCAGCTACGCCTTCGGTCCGCTCATCCCCGACAGACACCCTGGGCTGACACCTTCTTGCACGGAGACTGGTTCCCCCCATGCGATTGTCGGTCCGACACGATCCATGACTGGGGATGTGTGGCGCGCCATTTTGGTTGCGTCCGCCTTGCTTCCTGGGTGACTGACCCCTCAGACTCCCTGGGTTGCAGCTTGCACTGCCGCCTGGCCTCTCAGACGCCCTGGGCTGCTGCTTGCACCGCCGCCTGACCCGCGGCCCCCGCGCGCGCCCGGGTAATTCGTCTCGGCCGCAGCCCGACCGTGACCTCCCGCCGCCGGCGTTTCCGCCTGCGTTTTTTGTGTGTGTGAAAAAAAGCGTATCCCCACCAGCCCATCCAGAAACGATGTGCAGGCGAGTTGAGGTGATAAGGGAAGTGCGGCAGCAAAGAGGGGGACGGGCGAACCGTGCAAAGGAGTGAGGAGGAGAAGGAGGAGGTGGATGGATGGATGAGGGAGTGGGAAGAAGGAGGATGAACAGGATGAGGAGGAGGCGAAGGAGGAGGAAGAGGCGGAAGAGGAGGAGTAGGAGGAGGAAGGAGGAACAGGAGGAGGAAAAGGAGGAGGAGGAGGGCAAGCACAAGGGCCAGAGGTCTCTTGGATGCCTCTCGGAGCCTCTTGGGGTATCTCTTGGGCGATTCTTGGTGGCCTCTTGGGACGTCTCGGGGGTCTCTTCGCGATCCTGGGGGCTCTTCGGGGTCTTGGGTGCCTCGGGGGAGCCTCTTGGGGCCGCTTGGGGTCTTCTTGGGGGCCTCCTGGGGGCCGTTTGGGCGCCTCTTGGGGCCATGTCGGGGCCATCTTGGGACCTCTTGGGGCCTCCTGGGCGGGCTCTTCGGGGCCTCTTGGGTGCCTCGGGGGAGCCTCTTGGGGCCGCTTGGGATCCTTTTGGGGGCCTCCTGGGGGCCTCTTGGGGGCCTCTTGGGGCCATCTCGGGGCCCTCTTGGGACCTCTTGGGGCCTCCTGGGCGCTTTTTGGGGCCATCTTACAGGAGATCGATCGGCCTCCTGGGGGCCTCTTGGGGGCCTCTTGGGGCCATCTCGGGGCCATTTTGGGACCTCTCGGGGCCTCCTGGGCGCTTCTTCGGGCCATCTTGGAGGAGATCGATCAAACAGGAGGGGGGGTCACAATTAAGGCCCCTCCCCCCAAAAGGCCAACATGGGGCCAAAACCAGAGTAACACCAATGATTTTGGCTTCCTCGCCGAGGCCGTTTTGGACGCCCTGACACCTCGCGACCCCCCCCCCACCTCCAGGTCCAGGGGAGGGGGTAGGGGGAGGGGTAGACCCCTCCCCGAAGGGGAAGAAAGAGGGGTGGAAGAGGAAACTCCCTAAACCACCGACGCCCAGAGGGCTGGTGGGATTTGAAGAATTTCCGGGCTGGTGGCCACGAGCATTGTATCGTCGGCATACAAGACATGTTAGTTGACCAAATATGTGTTTGAACCATTTATTGTAATCAGAGTGTTTCGGTGTTTTGTCGACCGCCTCCAAGAGCACAGACATTACGATGATGAGCCTATACGTTGATAATGGACATCCTTGTGCTATGCCTGCCGCCTGTACGGGTGCCGAAATGGGTGGCTGGGACGCATGGGGGCTGCGCCACTGGGGCTGTCGGTGGAGCTCCCCATGGGACCACGAAGCGTAAGAGGGGTGTGTCGAAATGGGCCATCCGCCAGCGCAGTCCCCTTTGCCTAGCCGCCGATGCAAAAAGTATCCAAATGGGCGGCTGGGACGCATGCGGGCTGTGCCACTGGGGTCTTCGGTGGATCTCCCTATGGGGCCACGAAACGTGTGAGGAGTGTGCCGAACTAGGTGGCTCGGACGCATGCGGGCTGCGCCATTGGTGCCCGAAATTAACGGTTGGGAAGCATGCGGGCTGCGCCATTGGGGCCTTCCTAAAACCTCCCTATGGGGCCACGAAACGTGTGAGGGGTGTGCGGGCGGCTGGGACGCACGCGGGCTGCGCCGCTTGGGATGATGATGATGGTGGGGATGATGATGATGACGATTATGATTATGATTATGATTATGATGATGATGATGATGATGATGATGATGATGATGATGATGATGATGACGATGATGTTGCTGTTGCTGTTGCTGTTGCTGTTGCTGTTGCTGATGCTGATGCTGATAATGATGCTTCTGCTGCTGCTGATGCTGATGGTGCTGCTGCTGATGATGATGATGCTGATGATGATGATGCTGATGATGATGATGATGATGATGAGGATGATGAGGATGATGCTGATGATGATGATGATGATGATGATGATGATGATGATGATGATGATGATGATGATGATGATGATGATGATGATGGTGGGGGAGGGAGGAGAGGGGGAGACGGAATGAGTGATGGAAACGCGAGGCGTTGTCTCTTTAAAACGAGGACCAGCACCACAGGGTTGTTGGGAACAAAGAGACAGAACGAGTGGGACAAATCATTAACACTTAGCAGCGACGTGAACGAGGGAATAAAGAGACACGGATGGGGGATGCCGAGGGGATAGCGACCAACGCGAGGGAGGTATGCACAGAGGAGAGCGTTGTTCGTCGCACTGCGTGT